GTTGACCTCCCAGACACTTCTTTCATTCATGAATAGTTAAGGATTCACCTAAACATAGATTTGGTCTTGTCATCCTCCTCAGCATCCAGTTCCTCCCTTGTGAGACGGCATCGTCTCTTGAGATCATCTATACAAGTGCGAGGTACACGATTTTCTACCCAAACGCAATTCATCTCTGCCAGCGGTACGGTCCAAACCTGAAGTTTTATCAAAAGCAGATTCATGCTCTAACTATTCGGCTGCTTCATTAAAATGTTTCGCGATTTCAACAGATGTTTCGGAGCTTTAGGCACTCACTAAAAGGGTACTTGTTATATCTTTATGCGATAAAATTTTTGAGAGTTGCTAAAATTCTCTTGCAGTTGAAGAAAGGCTGGTAGAGCAAAATTAAAAAATGTAAATAATGTAAATAAGTAATGGACCAAAAGGACATAAATGTCCCTGAGGGAATGCTCTAAGTATTGAATACATCCACAAGTTTAGGAGAAACAACCTAGACTAAACTTTGAAAGAACTTGGGCTTTGCGAAACGCTCAATTAAGGCAACCGAACATATATCTACCTTCTCATTATATGGCCTAATGAATATCTCTTGAAGCGTTGGCCCGAATGTGTGCAAAGTGAACTCGTCGAAGTTCTTCGCTGGCTCCTGAGCCGTTGAAGCGGACGAGATTTCCTCAAGACATTGTAACTTAATCTCTTCAGGAAAGTATGGTATAGAGTCTTGTACTGGATAGGGAACGTAATTGACTTCAACGTTATCATCATCTTCGACGATGTGTCTCATGTAAGCCTAAATGACAGAAGCCTATAGTTCCACAGCTAAAGGCGGAACTTAAAATATAAAGTAGGGACGAACTATCTGGGCTAACCTTGACACATCTCGGCACATTATTCCATTGACTCACTGCTCGATTGATTACATTCGTGAATTTTTGGTACTTGGAGAAACCTCAATTCAAATATTAAGCTTTTAAACTCAAAATTGTTAATAAGCGAATGAAACATAGTCAGCAACCAATTAATATTTAGTACATAATTGATTGTGCAAATTAACAGTAACAGACAAATTTTTTCAACGATATAAACATGAACCTTTGAAAGACCACCTCACTTAATATTCACATTCTCAAAAAATACATCTCGCCTATGTGCTCTTTGGATTTTTGAAAGAATTGAACATTCAAATAGTTATTCAAATTACAAAAGTTTTGATAAAAACGTCTTTGCATAAAAAATTACCAGTAACATGCACTCCAAGATCCCAAGTGAATCCTCGACGATCGGTAACGGAACGAGCCAATCCCCCGACTTCGTCCTCTTTTTCGATTACAACCACCTCAA